TAAAGGTTTTAAGAACAGGAACTTAACCATATGAATAGAACGTGTGTCGATTTTAAGCCGTGCCGTACTAAACCAAACTGTTGCACGTACTAATCGACTTAAGATTTTGTTTTTATATTCTCCACCCTCTAGATCTGCTTTTGCTGCTATTTTCATTGACATTCATGGACGCCGTTGCGGGCTTTAGCTTTGGTACTTGTGAACTGAACGTGCGGTAGGGGAACAATCTTTCTTACGCACAAAGTGTTGGACAATTAAGTCAATTCCTCAATGGTCCATTAAAGATTTGCTGGCCGTCTACAAGCGGCTGAGCTAATCGGCGTCCGCCGGTAAGATTTAAATAAACCTCTTTATGTTTTTTTTTCCCTTTCCCGGATCAATTGCGGTTACTTTATTTTAGATTTGTTCGTGTTGCTGTGGGGGACCGGGAGTGTAGTAGTTACCCCGCCGTCCTATGACCCCCGGCTACCCAAGTTCAATTCCCGCTCACAACTGGTGTGAGTTGGCGGATATTCGAACCAGTTCTGGGCCTTCCGCTAGATCAACTCAGCCACAAATGAGTACCCGGTGCAGTGTGTGAAACGCCAACACTGGGGAGACACACAACCGTCTCCGTGTGAGGCTGGCCACACCACCTCACACATCTTAATAGGTGCTCGCTATAGTAATATGTTTTACCCTTTTAACTGGCACAAAAACTGACACCTTTACTCAAGGCATCATGTTTGCAATAACCACAACACAAGCAGTCAAAATGCAAACAAAAGAGACAACTCTGATAATAATATGCACTGTCCTTGAATTTGATTGGTCCACACCCGAGACGGCTTTTCTTAGAGCCTAGTCTCCACTGGTGTTGGACCAGAAGACGCCAAAAGGCGTACAACTCAAAAACAGCACACTATCAGAGTATTGAGGGCTCGGGGTGAGCATTTACATTATGAGACCTCCTTTGCCAGTAACAAGATATAGTAATAGGTTTTACCCTTTTAACTGCCACAAAAACTGACACCTTTATTCAAGGCATCATGTTTGCAATAACCACAACACAAGCAAGTCAAAATGCAAACAAAAGAGACAACTCTGATAATATTAATATGCACTGTCCTTGAATTTGATTGGTGCACATCCGAGACAGCTTTTCTTAGAGCCTAGTCTCCACTAGGCTCTAAGAAAGGGTAAAACCTATTACTATATCTTTTTACTGGAAAAGGAGGTCTCACAAGGTGTTCGCTAATTGCCCCGAACCGTCTTATGTATCCCGCACGGCCGTCTCAGTGCTATGGTAGTTCAGAGCATTGGCAGGGCCGGATGAAGCCAGTGCGGGGCCTGTAGCATGATGTTATAAAGGGGCCCTGAATAAATAAAAAAAACCACGTAAATATTAAAACACAATTTTTTTACATGCATAGTAAAGTATTTTTTTTATTTTTATTTTCCATACAGCCCAGATAATACGACAAATCGGTAACCTTAAACAACCAGTCGTTCATAAAAGTTGGAGGCGGTATAGTACTATAGTAATAGAGCGAGTGCAGAATCGCTGAACCGGAATTGATAGCTTGAAAGCGTTTAGCGCGGGGCCCTTGAAAGTGCGGGGCCCGTAGTTTATGCAGCTACTTGTGCTACTCGGATAGTCCGGCACTGAACATTGGCCCTACAATTGTGGCAAAGCCGGCTTCCGATTCCTTGAAACACTCACACTGCCAACAATTACAACTCTTGCCTTATTCTAGGCCTGTGGCTGCTTCGAGTTTGACCTGAGTACCAGGGCACGATGTGCCAACACCAGCAATGGGGGAGACAAAGGTGGTCGAGGATTGTTATGTACAACGCGCCACCTTCCTCCTTAACGGGAGATTGCTTATTGCACTTGAAGCAAACGTATGATTTATACTGAGAGATGCTGTTCGTTATTGTCTCTCGCGTATGCGGGCACGTGCTTGTGTGAGTGCAAGTGTGAGTGGATGTTTGTTGCTCTCCTCTTTTTACACCGTCCTGCCAAACACATCCCGCTATATTCTACCATGTAGGAATTGTTATGTGTGCGTGTATGTAGCCATCTTGGTGTGTGTTTCTGTATGTTGCATACGTAAGTGGGGAGCGGTAGTGTCACGGTTAGCGCCGCTGTGCTACGAACCCGGCGACCCGAGTTCGATTCCTGCTCACGGCCAACGCCGGTGACGATTATCTGAACCCGTCATGGGCCTCCGCTAGGTCGACTCAGCCTCAAATCAGTACCAAGTCTGGTGCGTAAACATCACCAGTGGGGCAATTTTTTTTCTCGTACAGCACTCCGGTGTGTTGGAGAGTAAACCCACAACATGTTTAATTGTAAACCTCGATTATGGATCATATGCAACCGGTGGTTGTTTTATTCGGGGACTGTTGCCCTCCATAGGAATGTGGAAAGTCCACCATTGTCAATAGAAATGAGGCTATACCGTTGTTGCCTTAAATGAGTACCTGGTGCGGTGTCTAAACATCACCACTGGGGAGACAAAGGCGGCTGAGAGTGGTGTTGGCCACCCACCCGCTCGTGTGCCGTGCCGGCCTTCATAGGTGCTATTCGCTGACAACACTTGCCCCGGAAGTCTGTTGAGACTATACGGGGGGATATTTATCTTTTGTCTTTGTGCATACTTATAGTCACGTGTGTGTGTATGTGCGTGCGTCCGTATGTGCTATTTTTCGTGTGTGTGTTCATGGTCGACCGGAAAGTAGTGACCCATTAAGCCAATGCTTTGATCGGGCGGGGGGCATTTGCTGACAGACTATCATGTTAACATTCATTGATTGACCACTTACTTACCTCCATTAGTGCACTTAAGCATCCAGGTCAGTGGCAAAGAATAAAGCCCCGGCTACTTTTGCTTTGCGTAAGAGTGAGGCAACAGCAAACGTCATGCAAAGTGAGATACTCATTGAAGATTACTGGGGAATGGGACAATTAAAGGCCCTCTTATTTGGCGGCCTAATGCAAGAATTCGACTTTTAAGCCCTGCATTTTCCAGGGCATAGCGCATTAATATCCTCCCCTTTAGAACAAGAACGTACAGTATGTTCCCCCAAACATGAATGCAGTGCGATTCATTGCATCCACTTAAAAAATATAAACAAAACAGTGTCGAATGTTTTGAGAGTGTAAATAATGCATATTGCGTTTAAAAAATAATAATAACTTGCGAGTGATTTCAACTCTCCGGGCGTGTTATTAGGGTTGGCCGCTTGATGTGATTGCCCTGCGTTGTTATGGGTTCAGATCAGAGTTAAGAGTCCACGCCTTTATATAGATCTTTCTTGCTGTGCGTTAAAACAGTTCTCCCCAAAAGATCAACCAGCAAACTGTGGAAAACTTTAAATGAGAAATTGAATATTGGTGGCACGCCATGCATAGATGTTTTAAAGAAATCTATTGATGGGTACGTGCGTCTATGGACATATTTACGAACTCACACACGGGTGCATGACTCCTTTAACATCGCTCAGTGGTTTAGCCTCTGGCCGTCATCGTGTATGTATGTTGAATTTCGTTGGCTCCATACGTAGCCAACCACGCTAATAAGAGGTGCGGCGGAAGGGCAACAAACTTAAAACAAAAAGTAGTTATAAAGAAATGAGTTTTCAACCTAGATTATTTAAAAGTACACAGCTCCAGTGGCTTCCTAATATCAAAAGGAAGAGCGTTCCAGACGGCCGCAGATGCGCATCTGAAAGCGCGCAATGTGGTGACCGTCTTCCTTTGACGGTTCGCCAAAGGCCGCTGCGAGGACGACCGGAGTTTGTGTTGACGATTTATGCTGCGTGACGAGATCAGCGAGGCATCGTGGGTTCATTTGTGGCGAGCGCACAGTTGTGTCCCTCCAAGAAACCTTTCGTCTGGTAAATTTTCCGTATGTGAGTTTTATTTTTTTCTCTCATTCATCTTCATACCCACTTCCCAGTCTTCTCTGTCAAGTTCTTCAATCATTTCCTGCAGCCCATTATCATTGCTCGTTATAATAACTGTGTCATCTGTTATAATTTGGAACCTGCAACCTCTCTTCTGTTTCAGTATTCTCCAAGCCACGTTAAGTGTAATTGAAAAAACAATAATCAATTGTGGGATAGTATCGTTTTGTATTCAATCATCTTTGACCACCAACAATATTATTTATTAAGACAAAATCATTTATACCGGTGTGTCGTTCTGACAAATATTGATAGTGGTACGGTATATACAACTGCTTGTCTAACATGTTTTTTTCTCTTCACAATTTCAATAACTACGGTTTACAAAAACGGTATTTGTTATATTTTACTTTCATGCTGTTTTTTTTCTTCCCGGTTTAACGTGGTTGTTTGCCTCTCAAAAGGAGCTTTGTTATCTCAGTGAGCATTCACCTGCTCGTAAATGAGGCGACCGTCTCCGTCTGTCTCAAAAGTCAAAGAGTCAAAGAGTGTCCCTAATCACATCAGCATTGCGTGCCGCTTATCTCCGTCGATGGCCTTAAGCTTGGTGCGAAATTCTATTTTCTGACGGCAGGCACCAGACCACAACTGCTTTCGACTTGCCAGAAGAGCGATGGTCACCTTTATCACTCCCAAATAGGTGATTGACTCAGTCGACCCAGACCCAAGATTTTAACCCGTGATCTTCCACTTGCGAGTGGAGCTCACTGCCTCAGCTTCACCTCGCCAGATGCATATATTCGCATCGTATCGATTGTTGTAGTTGTAGTTTTAAGTTCGTAGAGAGTAAGTAAGCGTGTCTAGCCAGGGCACTTTACTTGAAGGGATGACGGCCGGCGATCGAGACCAGCGACGGTGAAATGACGCCGGCCTGAAAATAATTTACCGCCGTGATTTATTTTCGCGTGCAATTGAGGAATATGTGTGCACGCGCGTTAAGGCGCTGCGAAAAGAAAGACTTCTTACGCGTTCGGTAAGTTAACAGGTGCAGCGTTGGCCGCCCGAACGCACTGAACGCTTCACGACCGGCCCCTTTCGATGTTCCGCAG